TAACACAGAAGTTACACATGCAAACACACGCATGTAAATGAATTCTGGCCCCTCTTTTACAGCCGAAAGCAGAACTAAAGTTCATACTTCACTTTTTATAAATATATGTGTGTGTGTGTGTGTAATTTAAATATCACACTGTGTGGGAACCTTGCAAAAGCAGTTATTTTTTCTCTTTATGTTACATGATTTTATTAACATGACTCATTTTGAACTTGAATTTCTCAGTTTTTATTCACAGGATTACAGAAGTTAACATACTGAACATAATTTCACAGGCTCTCGCTAACCTTTATTTAAGCCCATATTATTCTTTTTTCTGTTGTAACACGTATATTATAAGGTGGTTAATGTTCTTTAGCAAATTGGGTAGAAAACAAAGAATCCTGCACACTGTCCATCACTATACTCACTTTATTAACATTTCAGTCCTCAGGCTTTCATCAGGTGAAGTTCCTATAAACAACATCTTTCATATACAAGCTATTGACACTTTCTAGGTGGCTTACAAAAAAAGGTGTTCAAATATAATAAATGCACCAATATTAGCGTAGGTTCACGTCAAAATAAAGGCCCTCTAGTGAGATTAAATACTAATTTTCTTTACAAATTAGTCCCATTATTAAACTGGACCTTTTTAAATAATGCTTTGATATAATCTGTACAGATAATTGAGCATTATTAGTTCGACACAGATAATATTTATTGGCTGCATTATGCTGTTCAGGTATGTGCCATGTGTTGTTTTGTATGGTGAAATCAGCTGCACGCACTGCCTGAAAGGAAAACCTGATTTTAATAATATCTGAGAGCTGAAACAAAGCCAGCACTGTTACTTCCTTGCTTCATTAGTAGTCATACGTACCTGTTTGTCAGGTGAAGTTAAATCATTCAAATGTTTACACAAGAGTAGACATTTATGTGTAACAATCGAACCGTTATGATTATATTCTGTAACCATGGATTCCGAATTTAGCTCTTTTTATATCAAGTATATATTACAGTTTTCTTTAAATTGTGCTTTTTTCTGTTCTTTTTTTTTTAAATTTTCCTTTAAATAACTGGTTCAGATTCTCAACAAATAATAAATAGAGTGAACTGGAACTGAAGAAAGGACTCAATAATTACATGTTTATTCGTAAAACAAGAGAAATATGAAAAAATAAAGTGTGTAATATCTGACATGACCTGTCCATCCAGCTGCCGTGCACCAACATAACAGCCTTAATTAGCCGCACTGTATGGACCACCCTGTTGAAGTCTGTCCAGCAGCTCTGTAGGAGACAAACAGCACATCCTCTAACGCCGGGCTGCCCAAGGTGGGGCTTGCAGGCCAAAGTGGGGCTCGTCATAAGGTTTGATTGGGCCTGCCAGATTAGCTCCAGTGGAAAAAAAATATAATATTATGTTTTAAATGCATTTTAGTTTTTGTGAGGTAAAATTTGATTCCTTAAATATGTAGGATTTCCTAATTATTAATTATTTTTCATAATCTCACAGGATAAATAAATAAATAAAGTATCTAT